TACAATGCAAAAATAATCACATGAGAAAGCTAATTGAAATAATATAAAATGTATTAAATAAAATATTTAATTTAATAATTAAGTAAAATAATCATTTGTATAGAAATCAATTATTAAATATATTTTACATTAGATTCCATCTTACTACTACTTATTCCCAGTATGGAACCTATTTTTCTGCCATTATTTTATTTAATTGTGTTAAAAATTGTTTATCAGATATCATATTCTTCTTATCCTGCTTATTTGTTTCATCTTCTGGTAAATCTATTTTAATGTATAGATCTTTGAATGTACCATTTGTCTAAGTATCATTATTAACAATCACTGATTATTATTATTCATCATCAGATAGATCATTTATTTGATCCCAAAATAAACATTAGATCTCAAAAAATAAATATTCAAATTTAGACTATTTTTATAAATCTCTTAAATTTTTTTCCAAATCATCTTATTACAATGCACATTAAATCATGTTTAATAATAAGTTTAGATTCTTAACACTTGTATAATATGAATTATTTCTTGATGCCAATTAGATTACAGAGACAACATTTTCTACTTTTAATTTTTAAATGATAGTTTCATTCTTTTACTATCCCAAATGATCATTAACTATAAGTAGACATTCAATAAATATCTCTAATAAATCTTATTCTATTATTTCTTAAGGTTTTCCCATTTTTTATGCCACTAAACTTACATTCCCTCTATTTTCTAGAATGGTATGCCATAGTTCCCTTTTTTCATAAAGTGTTAATTGTGGTCTAAAGTTTTCTTCTCTTTCTCTTTTACAGATATACATAAATATTTAAATTGAAAAATAACATCATGATTCCTAGAAATGGTATTAATAAAAAATCATTTTTATTTTTAATCGTTATAAATTTGAAATTCAATGGCTTCATCAGTTCTTCGTTCTTAAATTCCATTAGGTGGAATATGTGATGTAGAATCAGCAAAACATGTTGCAAGAAGACTATTTGAATCTTATGATAGAGATAGAAATGGAATCTTAGATTAAGGAGAAGTAGCACCTATGATGGTAGATGCATATAAAGGAATGTCTAAAGGATTCAATCCAAGCAAATCAGATATAGATACTTATTTAAAAATCCTTGATAGAAATGGAGATGGAAAAATCACTATCTAAGATATTGAAGCATTAGCTATTAAATACTTAGTTGGCATTACTGGAGAGTCACCTAAAAGACCTAAGAGATAATATTCTAAATTTGTTGAAGAACGTTTAGATGTTGCTAGAAGACTCTTTCGTAAATTTGATTAAGATGGTTCTGGATTCATAACTGAAAATGAAGTATGTTTTCATAATATATAATTTATAGGTTCCATAATTATTAATTGAAACCTATAAATCTATGGGTATCCAATATAATCCAACTTAAGAAGATGTTAAATCATGGATGAGAATGACTGACCTCAATGATGATGGTCAAGTATCACTTGAAGAATATGAAGATTTAGTTATTAGATCACTTTAGCATGCAGGAATCCAACTTGAATGATATTATATATATTTGATATATATTAAAATACATTTTCTACATCTCATCTTTCTTTTTAATTTTTATACAATATTTCATAATTATTCCATTTCTCATTTTTGAATTTATTTTTTCAAAATTTGAATTATTGAAGATGACTATCAATTTTATATCTTAGAAAATCATCATCAACATCTTTATTGAGAGGGTCTTAAATTTAATCTCTTTTAAATTTCTTCATAACACTTTATTTCAAAACTTATTTCTAAACTTTATGAAACAAATAATTTAATAATTATTTATTATTTTTTTAAATATGATCCATATTATGTATTTATGTAAAAATAAATCCCTTCTTATAATTTTTAAGCTGACATTTAAGAAAAAAACTAACTTAATTTGATTTTGAAATTCCTAATCCTTTTTGAATATTCTTCTGCTTGCCTAATATTAAATACAAGTGTTCTTCTAAATTTATAAAGGTTTTTCCATCTTCTTAAATCCTTCTGATCTCATTCATTTAAATTCTTTCAGATAATTCCCTTATTACAAAATAAATATATAATTATTCTCAGGATGCGTAACGATCATTCATCCATTTCATCTTTAACTCATTACTAAATCTTTATATATATATTTTGAATCTTTAATTTCTCTAATAATCTTTACAATCTACTAAGATTCATTTCAAATCCCAAAGGCTTTACCAAAATTTCATCCTTCATATTCAAAAGTAGTCCCATATAAGAATCTGCCGTTAAATTTCCTCTCAAAATTCATCACAAATTTCTTATTTTTTTTACTCTCTCTGATTTATTTGAAACTGGAATCAAATATCGAAGCCTATTTATAAATTTATTTAAATCAAGATTAAGTAAAAAGGAATAATTTTTATACCTGTTAATTAATATTCATTATTAAATTCTGTAAATAAGTTGGAGTTATGATTTTAATAGATATACTTTCAGATTCTCTTAGAATTTTAAGTAGTCAATATAAACATATTACTTTAATGACTTGTATTAACTTTCATAATAAATATAATTAAATCAAACTCGAACTAACTCCTAACAACCCTGTTACATATTAAGGAATATCCAATAATTTTATGTATGAAGATGAAACTCCTATAAGACTATCACATAGTTTTCCAACCAAAAATAGTCCTATTAAAAAACGACCCTTCTTATTTATGGGCTTTAAAATTACAACCATTGTCCATAAAGTTTTACATAACTTATCAATTGGTATCATCGTATATCCACTAAAATACTAAATAAAACAAATCTAATCCACTATCAAATAAACTGATTAAACGTATGCAAAAATTGTTGTTCTTTATACTTTTAATAACTTTTCAATATTAAAGACTTTTCTTCCTTTTGAAATCCCTCCTTTTAATTTACATTTTTATTTTAAATACTTGACAACTATTTAAATTAAGGCATCATAACAGAAACGAAAAGCAAGAAATATTCAATTAATCTTAAGCTGAAATAAATTCTTTGTTAGTCACTCATTTTTTAATATGTATATATATTTATTTTATATTACAGTTTCAATAACTATAAGTATTCAATTCTTCTGCCAATTCCATAATAGACTAGCTAAACTTATTAAAGCACACCCTAATAATGCATTTCTCATTGTTTATCTCTTTTATTTTTTTTATAATTGACTTAATATTTTTGACATCAATTCTTCGTTACTTTTAAATTTATTATTTTTTATTGTATTCAATATTAAATTTAAATTTGTCAAAGTTATATAATCTTTTCTTTTCTACAATTCCTAACCAAAATTAAAAAGATTAATGTCACTACTTACATTAAATATTATCTCATTTGTTTATAAATCACTTAAAGAATTTACTTAACCATAACAAACTAATTATATTAGAGTTTTTAAATATGGATTTCCTCTAAATATACCACAACCCCACTTTCCTGTTGAAATTGCATATTTTGGTTCTCTTAATAATGCAATTTAAAATCCTGAATAACATTTAACAAGTTCTCTATTTATATTTTTTTGACTAAACTAATCTTCATAATCAAAAAATTCCTCAGCATCAATAGCCTATAAAAATTATTATATTGGCTTTTTACTAATAAATTATATCTCTGCTCTGTATTTAATTTTTATAAGTCTAAATGTTTGAATGTCGATTCATATCCCATATAATTATTATACTTTATAAGGTTTTATATTAAAACAGATTCATTAGATTTCATTGGTTCTACAAATAACATACAAATTAAAGCTTCTGGAAACATAAGCATTAATATCTAAATTAATTATTATTCTTTAATACATCTTCTTAAGTACAGCTTTTATAACACAAAGCTTAACCTCCTATGTTTTAATTCGCAAAATCAACTACTGTTGAGAATAATTGATTTTCATTTCTCTATCTAGTAAATCTAAAATTTATTGGTTTGTTTGAGTTAAAAAATTCAATTTTTTTTAAGTATTCTTCTTCACTTACACAATTTCTTACAAATTGAATATCTTCTTATGAAATTAATTGTCTATTTAAAAAAAATAATTTAATATAATTTGTTATGCATTTTAATTTTTCTTCTGTCACTCCTTTTGAATTCAAATTTTTTAATTCTTCCATATTAATTATGTAAAAACGACCACATTTGTACTATCTCCTTATCAAATTGAAGAACATCATCATTATTAAAGTAAAAACTTCAATTCTTCTTAATTTAATTAAGTTGTTTTTTTCAAATTCAGTATTGATCTTTTTCAATAATTCAATTAATTCATATTGATTAGTCAATAGCTATATTAAATATTAATTAAATTCTTTTTATTAATTTTAACATTCATTAAAAATATTGCAAATGATACCATCTTATGAAATTAAATTAACGATAGATTATTTATAGTCTGAATGGTGTTATAATTTAAAACTGCATTTGAATGCTTCACTAGCCCTAAAATGAGATAAGATAACTACATAATTAATATAAAGAAAAAAAATTATATATATTTAAAATTATATATAATAATTACATCTAATTATTATTGAATTTATTTATAAAATAGAAGCTTGGATTAAAAAAAGCTTATACAATACAAGATGGAAATCAATGAAAAATAAAACTTTATAGTAGAACTTCAATCATAAAAATTAGATATAATGAAAAACAGAAAAGTTTAGAATATTTTAAATTTTCTTTTGTGTTATTTAAAGTTTTTATAGAAATAAAAGGTTAAATATTTAAAAATCTATAAATTTTACATAAAGATAGAATTTGTTCTTATAAAAAATATTTAAAAACCAGCATGAATAAAATTAATGTTATTATAATAATTCATGAACTTTTTTTCATAACCATAACAGAATAATCTAAATATTTTAGAGGAAAAGATAAAGTGTCTTTCATTGAAATACAAATAATAGATCAATGAAATCTAGATTTTCAAGGAGTTTATAAGCAATTAAGATGATGAATTTGCAATATGGAAAAATGCAGAAAGTCAAGTAAAATCAGTTTGTGGAGCAGATATATAAAATGGAGAACTTACATTTTAATGTTTTACTTGTGCTCCTGATCCATATCATATGTTTTGTAATAAATGTTTTAATCCCGATCAACATATAAGTATTGATATTTATGTTAAACAGATCACAAATGTATTATAAAGCGTAATATTGGAGGAGCTTGTGATTGTGGAGATGAATAAACAATTATACCTTCTGGATTTTGCTGTAAACATTAAGGAATCTCAAAGTTTGATTACAATTAAGAATTAAGTAAGATCTCAGATGCATTAAAATCGAAAATTTAAAATTTCATAAAAGCTCTCTCTACAGTATATTTATAGTTAATGCGAAAAATAAGTATTGATCATGATATGTTTAATGTAAATATACTCAGATTCTATCACTTAAGTGAAATGTGGTTAATAATTCCTTTTAAAGAAGTAATTGATTCTGAATATAACATTGAAGAATATTATAGAATTTTTTAGTAGGCATTATATTTAAATTAAATACTTTTTAAGATGTGTTATTGGCTAACAGAATCAAGATTATGTTTTATAATTTTACTTTCAAAGATTTTTTAGTAGTAATTAACACCATAATCATCATAATCTATATTTGAAGATTTGCTTGAAGTTTAAGTGCTAATTGAAAGCCAAGGTCCACAACCAGCCTTAAAAATTGAAAGTTTATTATTTAGATTTTATGCTGACTATTAATTTAAGCAATTTATTTAGGCTTGCTATATTAGAAAATATAAATCTATGTGGTTATAGAAAAAATTAAAAGTAACCAAACATGATAAATCTATAAATGATTATTTACATTAGCTCTAATATATACTGAATTTTTAAATTGTTAGATCGTAATATCAAGATTTAGTGAAAGTGGCTCAATAAATCAAAACTTATATTAAAGATTATAAGAGTTCAACTGAAATTGTAATAGGATTATATGTTTGTGAAATTCATGAATAACACACTTAATATGTAGCAGAATAACTTCAAGATCTATTCTTAAATCATAAAGATATTTCATGCGTCTATGATTAAATCAGGGCCTTATAAGATATAGTCTATTCTCATACTCCTATCGAAACCTCATCATCATTATAATATTCAATAATTTTCAATTTAAGATATGAATATACTTTCTTCTATAGAATTGGTTTTAAATAACTAAAGCAGGCTCTCGGAGATTATTAAGAATAATTTTTTAATGGAGAGATTACTAGAGATATTATCTAAAATTTTAAATATTAAAATTTTACAATTACTGCTTATATAAATTGCTTTAATTAAATCAAAACTTAGCATTTACAATTATCTGATGACAACTTAACAATTTGGTAGTAAGATATATAAGATGCAGGCTATTTTCTAATTGGTTAAGGTTACGCAACTTAAGTGGTTTAAATTGGAGTATAAAAACTATTTGATTCTCAATTTAGTACTCCATACTTTAAAGAAAATATGATTAAATTATTACTAATATAATGTTATTCTATTTTAAAAAAAAAAAGTAAAACCCTTTCAATCGATATGTAATTGTAGCAATCATATAAAACATACATAGAAAATAAAAAATTGACTTAAGTGGAAATCTTTGATAGATTGTCAAAAATATATTTGTAGTTAATAAAAAGTTTAACTGTAATTGAAAGAATATTTACTTATTTCTTATCATAATTATATTGTTTGAAAAAGTTTTCATCAGGAAAAGATTTTGAATCATATATTCTAGACCTATTATAAGAAGACAAAAAAGAGCTTAAGATAATCTTTTATGAAGTCTTATCAAAATGTTTATAAGTTTATACATCAATACAATTTTGTCAAAATGAAATTTTAGAATAAATTTATCTTGGTTAAAGAGATTCAAAAGAAATAGTGATGCTAGAATCATATGATAGTACATTTTTAAAGTTTTATTTATTTCTATTTGAAAATGAAGGTTTTAGAGATTTAGTTCAAATAATTAAAAATCGTAAAATTCCTATTGCAAGTGCCAGTAATAAATTATTATGGTATATATCTATATATAAATTATAATAGTTGTTTGATATTAAGAATGTTAAGTTCTGATCTAGATTTATACAATGTTTGTTGTTCATCATCAAAAAATCTTCATAAAGATTTACAACTTTCTTTAGCCAAAGCAATCTAAAATTTTTATAACCTTTCAACATATCTACCATATACTGATATTGAAATTTTATTAAAAAGAATGGGAATTCAAACTTGTTCCTATCTTCCTGATCATGTCTTACAAATTTGTGAAGTTGATTAAGCCGTAAAATAATTGAAATTAAAGTCTGAATATAGAGTTATTTATGATCCAGCTATTTTTAATATAAGTACTACTATTAATAGTTAGATTGTGGAAAAATTAATAGAATAAAATAAATTTGAAAATATGAAATATTTAGGTAATGGAATATTATGGGATATTGAATTATTTTCTCAATCAAATTTTAGGACTATCCTTTATCAACTTTTAAAAGAGTATTGCAAAAAAGAATACATCTAAAATAATATTGATTTTCTAAACATAGAAGGATTTGATTTAATATAAGCATACTAATTATTATATATCTAAATAGTAGCAGCCAATTATTTTAGGAAATAAGAACTTATAACTGATTCTCGTTTTATTTTAGTTTAACTTGAATAAATTCTTAAGAAAACTCAGCGCAAAGATGATATCCAAAGAATATAAGTATTAATATAAGAAATACATAAAATCATAACTGTTGATCAAAAATTGATATAAAAATAATAAAATGATAACAAAAAAAATTTATAAAATAAAAAAAATCAATTCAAAGACAAATATAATAAAATGCAAAAATCAGAATTTATTTAAAATATGCTTGTAAATAACAATATTAAGGAAAACAACGGAGAAAATGATGATAAAGTATGTTCATCATGTAAATTACCTTTAAGCCTATAAAATAGTGTAGCTATGATGCTTTTGATTAAGAAACCCTAAACTTCAAATTTTTCTATTTTTTCTAAAGAAAATTTAGATCGTTTCAAAAATAAATAGTTCAATATTATTGATATAGGAATAGCAGATTGTAAACACTATTTCCATTATACTTGTTTAATTGAGAGATTTGAGGCTGATTAACAATATAGATATTAAAATACTCCTGATTGGGTAAAGATTGGATGCCCTGTTTGTAAAATGCCTTGTACAATTACTTTACCAATTTAAAGGTAATTGACAAGTTAAGATGTCGAAACTTTTAATTCTGATCTTTAATTATTTGTCTCAAAAAATACAGTTGAAAGTCTATTCGAAGATTCTATTTCTGCATTATTAACCCTAACTCAAACATATTATAATATGTTCATTGACTTACTTTTATCTTTATTTTAAAACCCATCAGAATTTATAAGAGACTAAAAAAATTTTGTTTTCTATTAATTACTCTAAATATTAAGTTTAACTAATTTGGAAACAGTAAAAGACAAAATTAAAGAAAAATTTTAATTTTAAACAGAAAATAATTTTATTTTATAAATATTATCTTTAATCTAAAAATATATTGTACTTGATAAAAACTTGGAAAGATTAAAACTAAAAGTAATAGATTATTGCATATAATGTAATATAGATAATGAAATAAAAAAATAGTTAGCATTGTCGTTAAATTTACAAGATGAAATTTAATAATAGATTTAAGATTGTTCAAATAAATTATTATTGCATTAGGATATTTCTGATCAATTAGCAATTATTAATTAGAAATAGTTAATAGAGGAATTGAAATGTATACTTGGGTTAACATTTAAAGAATTTTACTGTAAATATTTTACTAAAAAATGTTATGCTTGTGGATTTTATAACAAGGATTAAAGAGATGGAGGTTTTTAAATGTGTTTGTTCTGTTCAAAAACATTCTGTATCTATTCGTGTGAATAACAAGTTCAAATTGGAAACTTAAATTAACATGCAAATAATGAACATAATGGAATATCTTTTTATGTAGATTTAAGAATTGGATATGTTACTTTATTATGCTCTCCAATATCTATATAATAATATAAATGCTTATATTATGATTAACTAGGGTAAAAAATAGATATAGAAAATTAAAATTCAGATTGGAATACATTTTATTTAGATATTTAGAAAGTAAAAGAGATATCTTAAATTATATTGAACAATTCGTATTAAACAATTATCAGAAACTTGGAAGTTAGATAAGATTAATTAGATATGGAAGGGCGGCTTTGATTCAGAAGATAGAGATAAATGAGTATCAATAAATTTGGTTAATAATTATGATTTTTTCTAATTTTTTCTGAAATAATGTAACAATTTAGTATCAGCCTTCAAAGCATATATAAGAGGGCAAAATTTTGGTGAAAGTAAAAACATTTAATATTCTCAGAATGGATTAACTCTGATAGAAGTTGAAGTTAGAATAAATGCTAATAAGTAAAGAAAATGCTTGAATATCATAAAGACATTACAACAGGATGTTATGGGAACAATATATAAAATATAAACTTTATCTTAACTTCACATTTTATTAATAAAATTTATGTATATTTTTTTTCCAAAACAATATCTAGTAGTTCGAAAATTAATCTAATGAAATGAAAAATTTGATTTAATAATATATTATTTATTTTTTCTTTATGTATGTGAGTAAGTGTTGATTTATATGAGATTATAAGAAATAATGAGTTAAAAATAAATAATTATATTTATTGTTTATTTTATAATGGATCCTGAGTCAAATGATTTTTTAAGAGAAGGATCAAGTCATTAAATAATGAGTGGTTTACCAACATTTCAACAAATTATTTAAATAAAGTATGATATATCATCCATAAAGTTCCACTCAATAAGCACTAATACACCCTCTTTAAATCTAATAAGCCAACTTTTAATAATCTCCAGAAAATTCAATTAAATTCCAAGCATCTCCAATAAATGGACCTTTTTTTGGTATATAATCACCAATTTATTCAAAACAGGATGAAGAAGATATATCTCTTGTGAATTTAATTAATGATTCTCAACAATTTTCATAACCAGTTTGGGATATATCTTATAGTCAACTATAACCTAAAACAGAATTGGATTTAACAGATCAGCAAAAATATAAAAAAAAAAAGGTAGGGTGTACATGCACTAAAAGAAAATGTTCTTCTAAGTATTGTTTTTGTGCTAAAGATGGTTTTTCATGTTCAAATCTATGTAAATGTGTTAATTGCAATAATAATAAATCTTTCATCAGTTAATAATTGCAAAGATCTTTAATAAATGAAAAAAAAGGATGTAAATGTAAAAAGAATTTTTGTTTGAAAGGTTATTGTGATTGTTTTGCAAAAGGAATGTAATGCAATAATCTTTGTAAATGTATTGAGTGCAAAAATACTTAAACATTAGAACTTATTAAAGATAAAGTACCAATAATAAAGAAAAAAATAAAAAAGTTTAGTAAATTTTATAAGAATAAAAAAGGGTTCATAAGAACCAATAAAAAAGGATTAATATTACCTTAAGGAGAAAATTAATGATTAGCATAATATAATATTGATGTGAAACTTTATTTCATTATAAAATAAAACAATTTTGTTTCTTGACATATAATATTTTTTTTTAAACTTAATTTATAAAGATTGATTGTAATATAGATCTTTTTAAATGTATAATCTTAATCATTCCATATCAACTTAGATATCTAAGGTTTCACATAATTGAATAACTTTATCAACCTCATCCATTAGTTATCCTTTGTTTTTACTGTATAATTAAAGCAAACAAGAAGTTGATTAATTATCAGATTATCCAGCTTAAATATCTACAATGTTAAATTTACAACCACTAAAAGAATAAAATAATATAATTACGATTAAACTAATGATAAGATTTTATTAATAGCACCAGTGTCAAATAAATGTCCAGTTAATTTAATAGCCAAATAAGAAGGAACCTTTTTTAAAGCTTTTTTAGGTTAGAAACTTTCAGCTTCTTTTAATTAATCATTAATATTTCTTAAATGAGTAATATATTAAAATTTATGAGTGAG